AGCGAGACTCTGTCTCAAAAAAAAAATAGAAAAAATTAATGACCAACTAGGCTGATGCCATGGCACTCACTCTAGCCTGGGCAAGAAAGTGAGAGTGTCTCAAAAAAAAAATTAATAACTACTGAAAATACCCTTGGAAGCAGAGCTATGAATGCTAATTTTTAGACACAAAGTTTTCTGGTTTAAATGTGGTTTAATAAAGTGTAACTGCTGATTCTGATTATCCTTGAGTACTAGGTAGCCTGGGCCAGAAAGAACTAGAATAAAACTAAGTACCATTTTTCATAGTACAGGAAGTTTTAGCTTTGCCAGGAATACAATCTGACACAGAGGAGCATTTAATTAAACATTTTCTGTTGCTCCCAAGCTGAATCCAGCATTAATAGTGGGGTTCTCAGTGCTTTCACGCCTTGTGTTTTGGCGAAACAATTGGGTGGAGAAATATTTTTTTCACTTAGCTTAATGGTATTTGTCACTTCCACTCTTGCCAGTATACTCCTACCTGTATTTTTGCTTTAAATTTCACTTACATCTACTCGGTGTTAAATTTGTTTTAAAGGAATCAATATGACAGCGAGTGGTGTCATATTGAAACGAGTGGGGTGGCCCAACACGTTGACCAGCTTCATACAGGGGATTTAGGCTTCTCTCAGTGCCCCACTCCAATGGCGGGGAGAGGCAACCACGCATTTTAATTCCTCCTTCTTCCAGCTATGTCAAAGTCTATAAATACAACCAAAGATCCCAGGTAGTTTTGTTTTCCCTCTGGGCCTTGAGAGTTCAAGTCCTACACCTGATCTTTCAGTGATTCCCTTGTGATTCTGACCTCTGGGAATTAGTGTGCGCGCGCACGCCCCCAAAATCAGGAGTATGCTGCATTCACCTGTTGTCTGCCCCTCACCTGCCTCACAAGGACAAAGCCTCATCCAGAGATTGCAGATACCTGGTGGGGAACTGGCGCGTTGGCAGCGGTTACAACAGAACACTTAGGCGCGGAGCCTGTAATGGTGCGCTTCAGCAAAAAGCATTAGTATCTGACTCACTCGCCACAGGTATACTTGTCCTGGGTTTTTAAGGGCACGATTCGCCAGATCGTGTCTCCAGGACTGCCAGCTAAGTATCTGAATTAGAAACCTTAGCGCACATTGGGAAAAGCAATTCAAGTCGGCTTGGGCCTTTTGCTCTTATATATTGGGTGTAAGTGGAAAACGCTTTCCCCTAGTTTTATGGATACATGCAAATAAAGCTTAAAAGATAGTACTAGTTACTCCTTGCACCCTTTACAACACGATTGCCTTTGTTGTAGAAAATCGTCACTATATATGCTAACATTCCGGAAAATCTCACTATTCCTTGGATAGCTGGGAAACTAGCAGTTAAAAGATTAGAACTACTTAGATTTTAACGCTGTTAATTGGAACCTAAATTTCCATAAGGCTGTCTTGTGTGCTGGTTCAAAGACTAACGTTTTTATAGGACCTTGAAAATCTGATTATTTTATGATGTCTGCGTTTCATAAGGTAGAAGGGAAAACGGCTCCTTCACCCCTTCGGTGTCTCCAATGACATCACAATGCCCACCAGCCTCCTACACGTGGCTCCTTAGAAAGCGTGGGAAGAAGGAAAATGAAAAGGAAACTGCCAGGACTTAAGATGTCTGCCAAAGACCCTCGATTTCCCATAGGGCCTACCCGCTTCCAAAATGTCATCTCTCTTTTAATTTCTTTCTATTTTTAGTAGAGACGGGGTCTCGCTCAAGATGGTTTAGAACTCCCAACCTCGAGCAATCCGCCCGCCTCAGCCTCCCAGAGTGCTAGGATTACAGGCGTGAGCCACCGCGCCCGGCTGCATACATTCTTAATACATTAGTGGAATGAAAAGAATTTTCACTAGTCAATTCCTTCATAAGTAATTTGTTTCAGTATTTTAAAAGATCTTTCTTAAGCAACTTGTAGCACATTTCTGAGTAATTAAAAAGAATGCTTAAGCTGATTGTTTCTAGTTCTAGAGATGATATTATAAAAGGTATGGGTAATGATCCAGAACTGATAATTGATAAAACAAGCATTTTAAACTACTGGTTTTTAACATGTCATAGACTACAAATGGTATCTCTGGAGATGCATATTCCAAAGCCATTGTAGACTGTGTGGGAGCTAATCCACCTGTCAAGGTGGATTGCTAAGAAAAGCACTATTTTGTTGATTCTTTTCCTTTCTTTTCTATTTTAGTTAGACTTAGGCTCTGGCATATGTGCTAAGAAACAATGTTTCAAAGTCAGTCCACTAGAAGTTATACCAGGGATAGTTTACTGGGATTCATTATTTATGCTTCTTTTTCTAGAAAGTTCTCATGATAACCTATATTCTAGTGCTGAGCCAAGATTGTAGCAACTTCCCTTGTTTGCACATGGTGAAAAGCAATGAATCAGTGCCTAAAGTTTATGTATATTAGCTACCAAACATTTCAGAATATAAAATGTTGGTAGATATTTTTTTCTCCTACCTTTCTGTTTTATCTTGTATTGTGTGTGCTAGAATTTCAAAATATCTGTTTCCCCTGCCTCATTCAAAAGCTGTTATGTAGGGATCTACAGTTAAATGCTTCCAAAATACATGGGTAAGAGTAAATTAGGAAGCTGAGCGCAGCAGCCCGCCTGTAAACCCAGTTCCTTAGAAGGCAGGAGATTCGTTTGAGCTCAGGAGCCTAGCCTGGACAGCATAGCAAGGCCATATCTCTAATAAATGCATGACTAAATAAAAAGAAATCACACAAGAACTTTAAAAAGGATTAAATTAGGAGGAAAAAAGGATCAAACTAGCAAAATTGTGTAATAATTATCTGGCTGCAGAAGTTCCTATAGTAAGAATTGATTTGTTTCCGGCCGGGCGCGGTGGCTCAAGCCTGTAATCCTAGCACTCTAGGAGGCCGAGGCGGGCGGATTGCTCGAGGTCAGGAGTTCGAAACCAGCCTGAGCAAGAGCAAGACCCCATCTCTACTATAAATAGAAAGAAATTAATTGGCCAACTAAAAATATATATACAAAAAATTAGCCGGGCATGGTGGCGAATGCCTGTAGTCCCAGCTACTTGGGAGGCTGAGGCAGCAGGATTGCTTGAGCCCAGGAGTTTGAGGTTGCTGTGAGCTAGGCTGATGCCATGGCACTCACTCTAGCCTGGGCAAGAAAGTGAGAGTGTCTCAAAAAAATAAAATAACTACTGAAAATACCCAACTTGGAAGCAGAGCTATGAATGCTAATTTTTAGACACAAAGTATTTTCTGGTTTAAATGTTGGCTTTTAATAAAGTGTAACTGCTGATTCTGATTATCCTTGAGTACTAGGTAGCCTGGGGCCCAGAAGGAACTAGAAATAAACACTAAGTACCCATTTTCATAGTACAGGAAGTTTTAGCTTTGCCCAGGAATACAATCTGACCACCGAGGAAGTATTTAATTAAAACATTTTTCTGTTGCTCCCAAGCTGAATCCAGGCATTAATTAGTGGGGTTCTCAGTGCTTTCACGCCTTGTGTTTTGGCAGAAACAATTGGGTGGAGAAATATTTTTTTCACTTAGCTTAAGTGGTATTTGTCACTTCCACTCTTGCCAGTATACTCCTACCTATATTTTTTGCTTTAAATTTCACTTACATCTACTCGGTGTTAAATTTAGTTTTAAAAGGAATCAATATGACAGCGAGTGGTGTCATATTGAAACGAGTGGTGGGGTTGGCCCAACACGTTGACCAGCTTCATACAGGGTGGATTTAGGCTTCTCTCAGTGCCCCACTCCAATGGCGGAGAGGGGCAACCACGCATTTTAATTCCTCCTTCTTCCAGCTATGGTCAAAGTCTGTAAATACAACCAAAGATCCCAGGTAGTTTTGTTTTCCCTCTGGGCCTTGAGAGTTCAAGTCCCTACACCTGGAATCTTTCAGTGATTCCCTTGTGATTCTGACCCTCTGGGAATTAGTGTGCGCGCGCACGCCCCCAAAATCAGGGAGTATGCTGCATTCACCTGTGGTCTGCCCCTCACCTGCCTCCACAAGGGACAAAGAGCCTCATCCAGAGATTGCAGACTACCTGGTGGGGAACTGGCGCGTTGGCAGCGTTTACAACCAGAACCCTTAGGCGCGGAAGCCTGTAATGTTGCGGCTTCAGCAAAGAAGCATTAGTATCTGACTCCACTCGCCACAGAGTATACTTGTCCTGGGGCTTTTTTAAGGGCTACAGATTCGCCAGGATCGCTGCTCCAGACTGCCAGCTAAGTATCTGAATTAGAAACCTTAGCGCACATTGGGAAAAGCAATTCAAGTCGGCTTGGCCTCTTTTGCTCTTAATATATTTGGTGTAAAGTGGAAAACGCTTTCCCCTACGTTTATATGGAAATACATGCAAATAAAGCTTTAAGAAGATAGTACTAGTTACTCCTTGCCACCCCTTTACAACACGATTGCCCTTTGTTTGTAGAAAATCGTCACTATATATGCTAATCATTCCGGAAAAATCTCGACTATTCCTTGGATAGCTGGGAACTAGCAGTTAAAAGATTAGGAACTACTTAAGATTTTATAACGCTAGTTAATTGGAACCTAAATTTCCATAAGGCTGTCTTTGGTGCTGGGTTCAAAGACTAACGTTTTTATAGGACCTTGAAAATCTGATTATTTTATGATGTCTGGCGTCTCATAAAGTAGAAGGAAAAACGGACTCCTTCACCCCTTCGGTGTCTCCAATGACATCACAACTGCCCACCAGCCCCTCCTACACGTGGCTCCTTAGAAAGCGTGGGAAAGAAGGGAAAAATGAAAAGGGAAACTGCCAGGACTTAAGATGTCTGCCCAAAGACCCTCGATTTCCCAGTACGGGCCTACCCGCTTCCAAAATGTCCGTCTGCCTTGCTTACGTCACTCCATCCGCTCCATCATCCCAAAAAACGAGTGTGCTCCAATCAGGACTCAGTCTCCGCCCTTGACTTGCGTCACTTCCGGTGGTGCAGCAGCCATTTTGTCAGTCGCCAGTGGATCCCGCGCGCTGGAGAAGTGCAGTTCCCCCTGGTTACCAACTCGTCCGTTCTCCCTTCGTGCTGCGGGCGCCTAAGGCGCAGCCGTTCCTCCCTACGGCGCTGCCACTGCTGTTGCATCTGCCTGGAGGTGGTGCGCTCTTTTCCTCCTCTGCCACTGACAGGCGCCCCCAGAGCCGCCGTCCGTGATGTCAAGCGAGGAGAGCTACCGGGCCATCCTGCGCTACCTGACAAACGAGAGCGAGCCGTACGCCCCGGGCACCGAGGGCAATGTCAAGCGTAAAATCCGCAAGGCTGCCGCTTGCTACGTGGTGCGCGGCGGGACTTTGTATTACCAGCGGCGGCAGCGGCACCGCAAGACCTTCGCGGAGCTGGAGGTGGTGCTGCAGCCGGAGCGGCGCCGGGACCTCATCGAGGCGGCGCACCTGGGTCCGGGCGGCACTCACCACACCCGGCATCAGACCTGGCATGACTTGTCCAAGACGTACTGGTGGCGAGGTACGACCGGGCCCGCAGCGAGGGGGTGGGTCGGCGGCTTGTTGCCGGGGCAGGGCTTGCCGGCGGGGCCTGATTGCGCACTCACAAATTCTAGGGTCCCAGACGCCCCTGGCGGGGCCGGCTCACGCTGGGCGGCGGATCGGCTGCCAGGCGGAGCCGAGAGGGTGGGGGACGCGAAGGGAGCCGCACTTCCCACAGGAAGGAGGCCAGGGGAACTAGGGGCGGGCCCTGGCTCGGGGAGGGGCCAAGGGGCTTCCCCGGGGGCCGGGCCTGCGGCGGGGAGGGGCGGGCGCCTGAGCTGCGCCAGGCCCACTAGCTTACGCGGCCCCTGAGCCTGTGACTGCGTCCCTCAGGGGGAAGCTTCTAGCAGGCGGCCGGGAGGCGCGGCTTGTTTGTGCGGACGGTTAGGGGGAGGGACAGTTCGTTCGCCCAGAGGCGGGGCTCCGGTCTCTTGCGGGTTCCGGCTGGGTTTTGAGAAGCAGGTTTTAGGTACTCTGCGTGCCCTCGCACGATTTCCTGAAATTCTGCTGCTTGGGCGTGAGGAATACAATTGTGTGCAGAAATAATGAGTGGTTGTGTGAACCTTCGTCTTGAACCTCGTTTTTAGAGAAAGAATTAAATGTAAAGGATATCAGTTACTCTTAATTCTGATATTCTTTCTCCTGATACGGTGAAAAGTGCTTTGGGAACTGAGGCTCTCTATATACCCAGAAGAGAGATGGTTTACCGTGACATTTTTTTGTCATGAAGTAAATATCTAAAGTTTATTGGTTCCTTGGGAACCAGTTTAGGAAAGGAGAGCTAGTGCCCTTGGCTGCTTCACCGTCTGCTTAACTCCCTACAAAGTTGATGAATATTCACACTGCAGTTTAGAATTAGCAGTTTACAGGTCCATATAAGAAGAGGTTTTGTTAGGAATGATTCTGCCACACTCTGTATAGCTGCCGAGAAATTAATTTCTTGGGTCTTGGTTACTTATTCTGTGAATAAAGAGAGTAGGGTCCTGGACAGTTTCTAAAGTTCTTTTTGGTTTCTAAACTTTGTCATCAAGCTATCCATTTACGAACTGTTTGATAGTCTTTTCTTTTGTTCCTTAGAGAATTCTTTTGTATTTTCAAAAGCAGTCCGGTTTTAGATTTTTCTTAAATGCTTGCTTTTAATTAATTTTCTAGTTTAAAGCAATATCTGAATTAAATTCTCCTAAGGCGATACAGCTATAAAGAGTAAAATATGGGGTAATTGCTGTATTTTGTTAGGGTTGGTTTGGTCTGATACTGTTTTGTTGAACATATGTCTCAGGTTTAATACTTCAGGACATGTTAAAGATAATATAACTATAGGTAATATAGGTTTTTCTCTAGGTTTTTTTTTTTTTTGCATAATTGCTTTACTGGGAAATACAGGTGTAACATTGGTTATGGTTTTATATGCAGACATAATTTTGCACAACTGCTTTGTTTTCATTTAATCTTCATAAAACTTTGTGAGGTGGAAATATTTATGTCTCTATTTTACAGAAGAAAAAACTAAAAGCACCAGGAGATTCAATAACACAACAGGGGTCACACAGCTGACCTTTGTGATTTCACACTTTTCTTAACCATTGTTATATGGTGCTGTATAGGGGTTATTGTTCTTAATTTTCTTGTTCTAAATTATCCATGGGTGATATCCTGTTTGGGGTGTTTTTCTTAAGCGTTCAGTGCCTTAAAAGGCAGAAAAACACTGATGTTTATGTTAGTATAATTTAAAAGTGAAAGATACATTTGTATTTACGCAGAAATTCAAAATCCTTAAACATCCAGAGCAGCCGTTCTTAAGGTACAAGAACCCCTAGAAGAGGGAGGCTCTGAAATCCTTTCAGAGTATCCACAAGCTTTAAAACTACTTTCATGCCGGGCATGATGGCTCACGCCTGTAATCCTAGCTCTCTGGGAGGCTGAGGCGGGCGGATTGCTCGAGGTCAGGAGTTCGAAACCAGCCTGAGCAAGAGCGAAACCCCGTGCTACTTGGGGAGGCTGAGACAGAAGGATTGCTTGAGCCCAGGAGTTTGAGGTTGCTGTGAGCTAGGCTGACGCCACGGCACTCACTCTAGCCTGGGCAACAAGCGAGACTCTGTCTCAAAAAAAAAAAAAAAAGAATTGATTTGTTTTGTTTGGACTATGGAGATAAATTAATTGATGGTACTGTTACTTACTCTAGAAGATGTAGTCTCTAGAAAACCTGATAATAACTGGGTTTATGTAAAATAAACCTATAACCAATTGCAACCTCTTTGAAGAAAACAAAATACTAAAGGACCAACATGCGTCAAGCTCAAAAAAAGCCACTGAGCAAGAAATGGTCACTGTATCCAGTAATTACCAGGAAGAAAGGTTCTTAAACAGCTAACAGGAGCAAGTTGTTCAACTTGACAAATAGATCTCTAGAGCAGTGGTTCTCAGCCTGGAACACTTTTGCCTTCCTGGGGACATTTGCCTATATCTGAAGACAATTTTTGTTGTCAACTGTGGAGGAGGTTAGGGTTGTGATATTGGCATCTAGCTGGATAGAGATCAGGGATGCTCCTAAACATACTACAATGCATGGACAGCCCCTTACAACAAAGAATCTGGTCCAAAATGTCAATACTGGTTGGGTTGAAAAATCCTGCTCAAGCCTGAAAAACTATTCTTCAAGCTCTTTTATTAGATAACTACCCACTAAGGTAATTATTTCCCTTTGTTGTCAGTCTGTGCTGCTCAGTAAACAACCAGACAGCTTTTATTTTATTTTGTTTTATTTCATTTCATTTATTTCATTTTTCATTTTATTTCACTTCATGACAGAGTCACGAAATTCAGGTTAAAGGACAGCATCCATCTGGGACATGCTGTTCTTTGGGAGAGGAGATAAAGATCAGAGAATGGGTTGAAACACCCTTAAGACTTACGTTCAGGCTGGGCACAGTGGCTCATGCCTGTAATCCTAGCACTCTGGGAGGCCAAGGCAGAATATCACTAGAGATCAGGAGTTCGAGACCAACCTGAGCAAGAACAAGACCACATCTCTACTAAAAATAGGAAGAAATTAGCTGGACTATTAAAAATATGTAGAAAAAAATTAGCCAGGCATGGTGACGCATGCCTGTAGTCCCAGCTACTTGGAGGCTGAAGCAGAAGGATTGCTTGAGCCCAGGAGTTTGAGGTTGCTGTGAGCTATGTTCATGCCACAGCACTCTAGCCCAGGCAACACAGCAAGACTCTATCTCCAAAAAATAAAATACAATAAAAAATAAATGATTTATGTTCAGACATTGCCATACACACCACCATATCCATTCATATTCCATTGGCCAAAGCAAATTGCACGGTCAAGCCTGCCGCCAGTGGGGTGGAGAGGTATTTACTTGCGCCATCTTAAATTGTTATTTATGTAGGTCAAAAACAGTTGAATATTGGCAGTTTTATATAGTTTCCATTGTAGGAATACTTTGCATCTCATATGGAAAAGGGTGGGGCTATATAATCATCTTATGGGGGAGGAATGGATAACTAGGAAGAAAGAACAAAACAGTGTACCTCAGTGTGGCAGTGAACCATCATTTACAAGCTTACATCTTTGAAAATATATCTTACATTCTAAAGAACTCCACATACAACAGTGGTCCTGAACCTTTTTGGCACCAGAGACCGGTTTCATGGAAGACAATTTTTCCACAGGTCGGAGGGGGTTAGGGGTGGAGCTCTATGGCCCAGTCTGTACCAAACATTGGACCGCCCAAAGGTTGGGGACCATAGCTTTATAGGACATAAGTGTGTCTGCACATAGATACTTGAATATACATTAGTGTACACAGACTAAATAATGCTATATTTTTCAATTTTTTAATTTACATTAAGATGCCATATTCTGGCCGGGCGCGGTGGCTCACATCTGTAATCCCAGCACTCTGGGAGGGCGAGGCGGGTGGATTGCTCGAGGTCAGTAGTTCGAAACCACTCTGAGCAAGAGCGAGACCCGTCTCTACTATAAATAGAAAGAAATTAATTGGCCATCTAATATATAGAAAAAATTAGCTGGGCATGGTGACACATGCCTATAGTCCCAGCTACTCGGGAGGCTGAGGCAGGAAGATTGCTTGAACCCAGGAGTTTGAGGTTGCTGTGAGCTAGGCTGACTCCACGGCACTCACTGTAGCGTGGGCAACAAAGTGAGACTCTGTCTCAAAAAAAACGATGCTATATTCTTCAATTTTCAATTAAGAACAGCATTATATTTAACTTGATAATTTTTATTTTCATTGTAGGTATATTAAAACAAGTCAAAGATTATATTAAACAGTGTAGCAAATGCCAGGAGAAACTGGATCGCTCCCGTCCAATATCAGATGCTTCAGAAATGTTAGAAGAATTGGGACTAGACCTTGAATCTGGAGAAGAAAGTAATGAATCAGAAGATGACCTAAGCAACTTTACTTCACCTCCAACTACTGCCTCCAAGCCTTCAAAAAAGAAGCCAGTATCCAGACATGAACTTGTATTTGTAAGTGGTATTTTCTATTCAGCTTTAACGTTTGTCACTACTAGTGTACTAATATTTGCAGTCTTGGTGACTTTTATTTTTCTCAAACCACTAAGACTGCTTGACTATTGGTAATGACATTGAAGATTAAAGCAGGTCTATGTCTGAAGTAGATCTTACTGAATCAGACAAAATAGGTAATGTAGTATGTTGTTATATAAGCTATACTGCCTCTTCCTTTATGATACATCTTCCTTTTATTTCTTTACTTCAGAATGAACTTAGTTACCTGTTGGTTTATTGTTAATTATTCCTCCTCCCTTCTTTTGTAATGATATATTAGTATAGGTAAACAGAATACATTTCTAGAAGCAGTCTCTAGATCATGCAGCAAGATAAAGTTAATCTGGCTAAGTCTTTGTTTTTTGCCTGCTTCAGTTTTGTCCATTATCAAATTTCTGACTGGTAAGAATAGAGAGCCAGAAGTGAGATACAGGTTTTCATTAGGTCAAGTAGAGTGAACATAGTAGAAATAGTGAGGATGACAACATATCTTTTTATTTAAATACATACATAACAAAGAATATCAGATTATTTCTTCATATCTGTTAAAAGGGAATATGTAGTGTGTCTTGTTTCAAAGTCTGTTAAGGGTAAAAAATACAGATGATATATAATACAACTCTTGATCTCAAACTTCTTTTGGTAGGTTGACACCAAAGGAGTGGTAAGACGTTCTTCTCCAAAACATTGTCAAGCTGTCTTAAAACAGCTGAATGAACAGAGACTTTCCAACCAGTTCTGTGATGTTACTTTGTTAATTGAAGGAGAAGAGTACAAAGCTCATAAATCTGTTTTGTCAGCTAATAGCGAATATTTTCGAGATCTTTTTATTGAGAAAGGAGCTGTTTCCAGTCATGAGGCTGTGGTGGATCTTTCTGGTAAGAATTTTCTATTACTCTTGCTTTTTGGTTATAACTACATTTTAGAAGGGGTGTCTTCCAAAGTCAGAATTTATGCTAAAGTAGGAGAAGCCCTTTATAGCAGCAAACTAAGGTCAACTGAAAAGGTTCTTTTTAGCAGGGTTTCGATGGGAGAGTTATGGAAAAGACTGTCATATTCTATCACTGCCTCTTAGGTGAGACAGTTATAGCAGAAGAATTATTTCTGGGATGTAAACTGTTAGAAACAGTTTGAGAGAAATCCACAACTGCATCAGTATGGTTACACTGAATGAGTATGATATTTAAAAATTGACTGTTTAGGCTAGGTATACATGCCTGTAGTCCCAGCTACTCAGGAGGCTGAGACAGAATTTCTTGAAGTCAGGAATTCTAGACTTTTGTGCGCAATGATAGATGAATAGCCACTATACTCCAGCCTGAAGAACATAATGAGATCCTATCTCTAAAAATAAATATAAATAAGTAAAAATTGGTTGTTAAGTATTAGAATTTATTAAGTTCAATAATCAAACTGTCAATATAGAAAAATCAAAATTCCAGGTGATTTTTTTTTTATTACTGTGAATGAATAGTTTGACTTTTCTTTTGGCTTCATTAGAATTTACATATTAGCTTATGAGTCAACAAATGAAAGTTTAGGAAGAATTAAAATAAGTAACTTGTACATTTTCTCATAATAGAAATTTGGTGTATCCTTGAATTACTGACATCACTTTGTGAAATGATGTTCTCATTTTCCCAAACACAAAAGTGACTTTACCCAAGTATGTAAATACTTAATCATTTAACCACTGAACCTTTTCTGCCTTATATTTTTTAAGCTCACCTCTTCTGCAAAGCAAATACATATATTTTTCCTTAGCTTTATGTTTATATGAAGCCATAGCTTTCTCTCTATGAAGAATGTTTATTAAACATCCACTGTGTGCAAGGAACTAGCCTAAGCTCTGGGGATACAGTGGTGAGCAAAAACTTTTTGTAGCTTAGAGTTGCATTGGATTCTAGATCAGTGGTATTTTTTTCTGGGTTTGGTAACACAGAGGACAAAATATGTCTTATACTGAGCCATCTGAATAATAAAACTCATCATAGGTGTAGTCATTTGATGCATTAGCTTTGGAATTTTTCCCCCTATAGTTCATGCACCTAAAGCAGAAAGAGAGAGCCATGAGTGTTGCTCTTTTCTAGCTTAACAGCTTATAGCAAATGAAAAGAAATATCTACCTGAATTTACTGCAGCACAGCATTCTAATATTCCAACAAAATATTTTATTTATTTTTCCTTCTGCATGTTTATTATTTATTATTCAGCAAATATGCTGTAAGCAATCACAGGGGAAAAAGCCATTATTTTTAGAAATGTTTGATTTAAATATTAAATCTCTGTAAAAAAAATATATGCAGTATAAAAAACAATGATACAGGCCGGGCGCTGTGGCTCACGCCTGTAATCCTAGCTCTTGGGAGGCCGAGGCGGGCGGATTGCTCAAGGTCAGGAGTTCAAAACCAGCCTGAGCAAGAGCGAAACCCCGTGCTACTTGGGGAGGCTGGGGCAGGAGGATCGCTTGAGCCCAGGAGTTTGAGGTTGCTGTGAGCTAGGCTGACGCCACGGCACTCACTCTAGCCTGGGCAACAAAGCGAGACTCTGTCACCAAAAAAAAAAAAAAACTACTTTCATAATAAGACTAAAGCATTATTTGCCTTTTCACTCTCATTCTCTGAATTTACCATGAGGTTATGTATATCGTTGGTGGAAAATTTGTTTTAATACACCTAACCTACATAATAGTTTAGCCTAGCCTACTTTAAATGTGCTCAAAGCACTTACATTAGCCTACAGTTGGGCACATCTCACACAAGGCTTATTTTACAATAAAGTGGTTAATATTGTATCATCTGTAACTTATGGAATACTGTACTGAAGAGAAAAATCGAATGGTTGTATGGGTACTTAAAGTACAGCTTCTGCTGAATAAGAATTGCTTTTGCACCATCATAAAATGAATATACTGTATGTATATCAGACCATCATAAGTCAGAACCATCACTACAGTACTTTTTTAGACGCTACATGACTTTTTTTGTGACAATAGATAGAATGCAGAAGCATATACAGTTGGCCCTCCATATTTGTGAGTTTCCCATATCGTGGATTCCACCAACCACAGATGTAAAAATATAAAAAAGAATGCTTGTTTCTGTAATGAACATGAAAAGACTTTCTTTTCTTGTCATTATTCCCTAAATGATACAGTATAACAACTATTTACATAGCATTGACATGGTATCAGATATTATAAGTAATCTAGAGATGATTTAAACTATATAGGACAATATGCCTAGGTTACAGGCAAATACTACACCATATTATGTCAGGGACTTCGAGGATAGCCTGGAGCCAGTCCCCCAGGGTTCTCACTGCTGGTTTTTTTGTTTGTTTGTTTGTTTGTTTCGTTTTGTTTTGGTTTTGGGGATTTTTTTTGGAAAGTAGGCTTTTTTCCCCATAAAAATGCTATGTTTGGGCCGGGTGCGGTGGCTCATGCCTGTAATCCTAGCACTCTGGGAGGTCGAGGTGGGCGGATTGCTCAAGGTCAGGAGTTCCAAACCAGCCTGAGCGAGACCCCGTCTCTACTATAAATAGAAAGAAATTAATTGGCCAACTAACATATATAGAAAAAATTAGCCAGGCATGGTGGCGCATGCCTATAGTCCCAGCTACTTGGGAGGCTGAGGCAGCAGGATTGCCCCAGGAGGCTGACCCCATGGCACTCACTCTAGCCTGGGCAACAAAGTGAGATTCTGGCTCAAAAAAAAATTCTATGTATGTTAACCTGTAACGAGTTTATTACTTGATCATCACATTATTATTATTTTACTTTTTCTCATTTAAAATTGGAATTCCCGGTCAATAAGCCTCAGGGCTATTGCCCTCACTAATTAGCTGTTCATATTGATGTTTATTGTTTGCTTGTTTGTTTATTATAGTCTTATTAGATAAACAAAACTACATAGACTGCATACATTCTTTTTTTTTTTTTTTTTTTGGAGACAGAGTCTCACTCTCTAGCCCAGGCTAGAGTGCTGTGGCGTCAGCCTAGCTCACAGCAACCTCAAACTCCTGGGCTCAAGCAATCCTTCTGCCTCAGCCTCCCGAGTAGCTGGGACTACAGGCATGCACCACCATGCCCAGCTCATTTTTTCTATATATTTTTAGTTGTCCAATTAATTTCTTTCGATTTATAGTAGAGAGGGGTCTCTCTTGCTCTTGCTCAGGCTGGTTTCCAACTCCTGACCTTGAGCAATCCACCCGCCTCAGCCTCCCAGAGTGCTAGGATTACAGGCGTGAGCCACCACACCCGGCCGTGGCGTCAGCCTAGCTCACAGCAACCTCAAACTCCTGGGCTCAAGCGATCCTCCTGCCTCAGCCTCCCAAGTAGCTGGGACTACAGGCATGCACCACCATGCCCGGCTAATTTTTTTTTATATATATATTTTTAGTTGGTCAATTAATTTCTTTCTATTTTTAGTAGAGACGGGTCTCGCTCAGATGGTTTCGAACTCCCAACCTCGAGCAATCCGCCGCCTCAGCCTCCCAGAGTGCTAGGATTACAGGCGTGAGCCACCGCGCCCGGCTGCATACATTCTTAATACATTAGTGGAATGAAAAGAATTTTCACTAGTCAATTCCTTCATAAGTAATTTGTTTCAGTATTTTAAAAGATCTTTCTTAAGCAACTTGTAGCACATTTCTGAGTAATTAAAAGAATGCTTAAGCTGATTGTTTCTAGTTAGAGATGATATTATAAAAGGTATGGTAATGATCCAGAACTGATAATTGATAAAACAAGCATTTTAAACTACTGGTTTTAACATGTCATAGACTACAAATGGTATCTCTGGAGAGCATATTCCAAAGCCATTGTAGACTGTGTGGGAGCTAATCACCTGTCAAGGTGGATTGCTAAGAAAAGCACTATTTTTGTTGATTCTTTCCTTTCTTTTCTATTTAGTTAGACTTAGGCTCTGCATATGTGCTAAGAAACAATGTTTCAAAGTCAGTCCACTAGAAGTTATACCGGGATAGTTTACTGGGATTCATTATTTATGCTTCTTTTTCTAGAAATTCTCATGATAACCTATATTCTAGTGCTGAGCCAAGATTGTAGCAACTTCCTTGTTTGCACATGGTGAAAAGCAATGAATCAGTGCCTAAAGTTTATGTATATAGCTACAAACATTTCAGAATATAAAATGTTGGTAGATATTTTTTTCTCCTACCTTTCTGTTTTATCTTGTATTGTGTGTGCTAGAATTTCAAAATATCTGTTTCCCCTGCCTCATTCAAAAGCTGTTATGTAGGATCTACAGTTAAATGCTTCCAAATACATGGGTAAGTAAATTAGGAAGCTGAGCGCAGCAGCACGCTGTAAACCCAGTTCCTTAGAAGGCAGGAGATCTTTGAGCTCAGGAGCCTAGCCTGGACAGCATAGCAAGGCCATATCTCTAATAAATGCATGACTAAATAAAAAGAAATCACACAAGAACTTAAAAAGGATAAATTAGGAGGAAAAAGGATCAAACTAGCAAAATTGTGTAATAATTATCTGGCTGCAGAATTCCTATCGTAAGAATTGATTGTTGGCCGGGCGCGGTGGCTCACGCTTGTAATCCTAGCACTCTGGGAGGCCGAGGCGGGCGATTGCTCAAGGTCAGGAGTTCAAAACCAGCCTGAGCGAGACCCCGTCTCTACTATAAAAATAGAAAGAAATTAATTGGCCACTAATATATAATATATAATAATTAGCTGGGCATGGTGGCCGTGCCTGTAGTCCCAGCAACTGGAGGCTGAGCATAGGATTGCTTAAAGCCCAGGAGTTTGAGGTTGCTGTGAGCTAGGCTGACGCCACGGCACTCACTCTAGCCTAGGCAAGAAAGCGAGACTCTGTCTCAAAAAAAAAAAAAATAAAAAAAAAAAA